TATCTAAAATATGTATGCATACAAAAAGGGAAGGAGGAATAACAAATCACAAAAGTATACAGTATCCTAAAAGTATCCTAAAAATCATCTGCAATGATGAGTTCCACTTGACCTTGGATCTGAATGGTTTTCTGTGGAAAGGGATAAATTGCAGTCCTATATTTGCAAATCCTCTCTCTATATATGTGCATTGAATTTTAGAATTGTAGTTCACCTACATCTAGAGAGCACTGCAGACTCAAAGAATGTTGGATCTGGACCAAACTTGGCACGGATACTCAATATGCCCAAATATAAACACAGATGGAAATCGACCTTGACATTTGGGAGTTGTAGTTACTGGCATTTATAGTTTACCTACAATCAAAGAGCGTTCTGAACCCCACTAATGACAGAATTGGGACAAACCTCCCACACAGAACCCCCATGATCAACAGAAAATACTTAAGGCCATCCAGTCCAACTCCCTTTACCAGGGCAAGAAAACATAATCAAAGTCCTCCTGACAAAGAGCCATCCAGCCATAGATATAGAGAGATATATATGACTCACACACAGAGAGATATAGTATCATAGATTTAAAAGGGACCCCTAAACAAGGACAATTCTATGTTGCATGCTCCAGAGTAGGCCAACCAGACAATCTCTACATCAATACAAACATAAAGAAATGACATATATTAGAAACTAAAACTTTCTCATTGCTTTATTTTCCAGATCACCAGACTGGGCCACAGCAACACATGGCAGGGGATAGCTTGTGTGTGTGTGTGTGTGTATGTGTGCGCGCATGCGTGTGTGTGTGTGTGTGTGTGTGTGTGTGTGTGTGTGTGTATATATATATATATATATATATATATTATATATAAATGCTCTGTGCGTAATGAGTACCTTAAAAACAAAAAAAACCTACTGGGCCAAATGACCCCAAATTTGGCAACAAAACTCCTCACAATCCAATGAGTGACCATCACTGAAAACAACCCCACAAAAATACCTTTAAATTCAATATAGGAAAAAGACAACATGTGCTGAGGACACAGCAAGCAAGGCCACCTTACTTCACTTTCCCCTTTGTCTTTGCAGTCCTTGGAAGTTGAGGCAGGAGAAGGAGAAGGGTCCTAATGGGCAAGGGAGAGTGGTAGTGAGGTGGCTCATATGCCGCGGTATCAAAAGGAAGAGGAGGAGGAGGGCTCCAAAGCAGCAGTAGTTGCAATGGCTGCTGTTCCCTAACTAACATTAAAGCAAGGGATCAAAAGGCAGAGGCTGAGGAGAAGGAGGAGGGGGAGGAAAGAAAGGGGGGGAGGAAAAAAGAGGGAGGTGGGTCACACTCTGTGCACACACTCTGACTCTCTGTCTCCCACACACACACTCCCACAGCACGCGGGAAAGAGGAATGATGGGAGTAATAGGGACACATGAAACTGACATTGCTTGGAAAGGAGCCCCAAAGACCATCCAGCCCAACTCATTTGGCAGTAAAGGAAGACACCATCAAAGCCCTCACAACAGATGGCCAACCAGTTGGAAGGGAGCCCTAAAGGCCATCCAGTCCAACCCCCTCCTTCCCTCCCTCCTTCCCTTTCTCTACTTCCCTTCCTTCTCCTTCCCTTCCTCCCTTTCTTTCCTTTTTTCTCCTCTCCTCACCATTCCTTTTCTCCTCACTCTCCCTTCCTTCTTTCCTTCCCTCCCTTTCCTTCCTCCCTTTCTTTCCTTCCTTTTTCCCTCCCCCCCCCCCCACTTACCAGCTTCATCGTCCTTTATTAAATCTACAGTGTAGATGCACCCAAAGTAACCCTTTCCACACTGCCATGTAAAATCCAGATTATCTACTTAGGACTGGATTATATGTCAGTGTAAACACACGCCTACACACACATGCACACACGCACACGTGCACACACATATAGATGGATGGATGTTGGATCACTGGTTGGTTTGTGTGTGTGTGTGTGTGTACAATACTTTATATATTACTATTATATATATTGCTATATTAAATAGACTCATAGACTAGAGTTAGAAAAGACTCTACCATGGTATTGGGGGAGAACAGACAGGAAGGAAGGAGACAAGAAAGGAGGGAGGGGAAAAGGGAAGGAATGAAAGAGGGAAAGGGGGAAGGAAGGAAAGCGAGAAGGAGGGAGGGAAAGAAGGAAGGAGGGAAGGAAGGAAAGAGGTACTGAAGGAAGGAAGAAGAGAAAGTTGAAAGGAAAGAAAAATAGAGGAAAGGCAGGAAAAGGTAAAGAAGGAAGGAAGGAGAAAAGGAAATTAAAAGTGAAAGAAGGAAACTGGGAGGGAAGAAAGGAGACAAAGGAAGAAGTAGAGAAAGGGGAAGGGAAGGAAGGAAAGAGAGGAGGACGCGTGGCAGGGCACAGCTAGTGTGTGTGTGTGGGGTGTGTGTGTGTGTGTGTGTGTGTATGTACCTCTATATCAATATCTATATCTGTATAGGATTTGCAGACACTTGTAAACATGTAAGGGGAAATTCATATATAAAAATAATGTATACAGATAGATATACAGGTACATGGAAATCTCTAGATATCTATATGTATATAGGATTTGCAAAGACCTGTAAACATATGAGGGGAAAATTCATACATAAAATTAATGTATATAGATAGATATAGATACATAGTTATATAAGGACTGCAAAGGCTTGCAGGCGAAAATGGCTATGTATCTGTAGAAGAAATTAACAAATATTTAAGACGAAAATGCTTTTATAAGATTAATGGATATATATATGGTTTGCAAAGACTTCAAGAGAAACATGCATATATAAAAACATATTTATAGATCTATAGGGTTTGCAAAGGCCAGTGAACACTTTCAAGGGAACAAAAATGCACATATAAAGTTAACACATCTAGATAATGCCAGGCTCTACAACTACTCTTGGACATATCAGGATTCTCAAGCAGCTCTATCCAGCCGTCTTTCTTAGCATTAGCTATGGCTGTAGATAATTTGTGGCCTGCTGCTATAGTTTCATCACTGTATGGATTCTCTTGAAATAATCTGAGGTATTCCTGTATCTGAATTAGAAATTTTTCATTTAGGCCTGGTAGGTAGCTTGTATGATAGTATCTTGGGATACAGACACTCGAGGATCTTTCCACAGGGTCTACAAACAAGTCAAAGCCTTCTAGGTTGTCGTTGTTCATTTGTTCAGTCGTTTCTGACTCTTCGTGACCTCATGGACCAGCCAACACCAGAGCTCCCTGTCGGCTGTCACCACCCGCAGCTCCTTCAAGGTCAAGCCAGTCACTTCAAGGATACCATCCATCCATCTTACCCTTGGTCAGCCCCTCTTCCTTTTTCCTTCCATTTTCCCAAGCATCACTGTCTTCTCTAAGCTTTCCTTTCTTCTTATGATGTGGAAAGTACTTCATCTTTGCCTCTACTATTCTTCCCTCAAATGAGTAGTCTGGCTTTATTTCCTGAAGTATGGACTGGTTGGATCTTCTGGTGGTCCAAGGCACTTTCAGAACTTTCCTCTAGAACCACAGTTCAAAAGCATCTATCTTCCTTCGCTCAGCCTTCCCTATGGTCCAGCTTTCACATCCGTAGGTGACTATGGGGAATACAATTGCATTATAGCCTTCTATAGAAGGTCCTATAATATCGGAAACAGCTGCTTCCAGGTTCTCTGTAAATTTTGTTCTGTTAGCTTGACCCATTTAGATACACAGAAATTGGGCTTGCAAAAGATTTTAGGGGAAATGCATATGTAAGATGAATATGCATATAGATATATACAGATAACACAGGGCTTGCAAAGATTTCTAGGGGTGAAATCTATATATTATTTACAAGCTCCACCTCCTTTCCCTTTTCAAAACATTTCCTTCTTTTCTCTCTCCATCTTTTTTAAAAATAAGAGTTTCCAAAATGGGCAACTCCAGCCGGGGAGGAGAAGCGGAATGAGGGAGGCTTAGGAAAAGAAAACACATTGTTAAGGAAGGGAAAGAGGAGAGAGACATATATCATATACTGCAAGCAATGGCTGGAAAGAGCTGTTAAAAGCAGGGGCAACATCAGCCTTGACCCCATTATAAGTTAAGAGAGGCCTTTTCAGCCCAAAAAAGGACTGAAAAACTCAGCTTATATTCGAGTATATACAGTATTTAAATGCAACCTTTTCGTGTGTCTTAATCATGGAAAGTTACTAAAGACTGCTGATTTTCAGCAAAGGTAGAACAATCACATGGCAATTCAATTATATATATACCAGGAAGAGGAAAATGATGTGATTATTTTTATGATACCAACAAGAAGAGTGCAAATATGCAGCCCAAGCAGTTGAAACATTCACACCTACCTCCAACAGACAAGAGTTCTTCGTCCTACCCTGGTCATTCCACAGATATATAAACCCAATTTTCCTAGTTCCAAGAGACCTCACTACCTCAGAGGATGCTTGCCATAGATGCAGGCAAAACGTCAGGAGAGAATGCCTCTAGAACATGGCCGTATAGCCCGAAAAAAACCTACAACAACCCAGTGATTCCGACCATGAAAGCCTTTGACACTACATTGTCCAAGAAAGGCTAAAATTCAAAAGGAGCTAAGCCTGGCTAAGAAATCAACAAAATGTTTTTGTTTCAGACATCTTTGAAGCAATAGAATGATCAAGAAAGCAGTGGGAGTGCTGCTCAGCAAGGATGCTACAAATCTAAGAGGTCATACCAAAAAGGTCTAATTATTCTACACCTATTTTGCTTTTGGTTTTCCCCTTAAAGAGAACTGTGTAATTGCATGCATAAGGAAAGACTTTGGTTAGGAATCTATATTACAAATCAAGAAGAATAAAGAGATGGAAATGCTTTCATTGTGCTTTTCTTGCATGGCAGGAGGTTGGACTGGATGGCATGCATGGTCTCTTAAAACTCTATAATTCCTTGATGAGGAATTCCATGCTAATCAACATTGATTTCAAGTGACAATGGCAATATACCAAACCCTTAGATAATATTCCAAAGCACCACTTTTACCTTGCCAGTTGACTTTGTTCCTTTCCAAATGCAAAAGTAGCAGATAGTCCAGGCAGCCAGTAGACAGAGCGCCAGCTCCCAACGAAGATTTCCAATGTGTTCAATCCCATTTGATATGGCCAGCACTCTGCGTCTAAAATAAAACAGACCCACCAGCTATTAGAGCCCTAATAAAACAAAGTAAACGATAACTGTAGAAGGACTGAGACAAAGAGAATACATACTTAAATGCTGCCATGTAAAGAAAATAAGCCCTGTAGTTTTGTCTCCAAACAATCCACCCAATTGTAGATTGTCATTTTATCTATGTAGATCTTATGTATGAGCTTGGAATATTAGTTTTAAAAAGCTGATAAATTTCTACTTAACAGAAGATCCACACATCAAATTCAGTTTATTATTATTGGAGATTATTTATCTGACAGTGTAGACTCATATAATCTAGTTCAAGGAAGATAACCTGGGATCAGATCCTGGGATATAGGGGTAGTGTGGAAGGGGCCTGAGCCACTGTAACTCTGAAGTGTTTCTAGTGCTACTAGAGTATCAATCAGATTTTTGGAGTGAAATGTTGAAATATGTCAGTTTCATTTAGCAATCTGAAATGGTCAGGAAAAGTATCCTTACATTATTTTTCTGTTTGAAAGAAGAGAGCATGAGGATACTGAATACTGTGCAATTCAGTATCCTCATGTTCTTAAAAGAATCATCTGTGAAAGACACATAGTAAAAAGAGACCTCACCTCCCTGACTTAGAACAAAGCATGCTGTATTGAAAGTGTGTTTGGACTGTTTTATGCAGGTTCTGTACTTTGGGATGAGCAGACATCAAAAACTCACAGAAAGGAAGACACTGCAGCCTGGTTCTGATTACTTTTTAAACAGAAGCTATTATTACATAAAAATGAAGTAAAGAATGTTAGAATCAATCCTTTTAAATGATTACAGGAAAAATACTTGGTTTTGCAGTGTGTACTTGTACTTTCACTTATGATGTACTTATGGTGACCCCATGATTTTTTCATAGGGTTTTCATTGGCAAAGAATACTCAAAGGTGATTTGGCCAGTTCCTTCTTATGAAATATAGCCAATAGTAAATGGTATGGACTATCTTTCATAGGAAAGAACTGGTAACTGTAATTCGATGCTGTAAAACTATAGACATTTTGGTTATAACTAAAGCAAAAATATATAATAGCAAACATATATTAGCCACAAGGAAATATATAGATACCTTTTTATCATAATTATTTGGAAGCTGTCAGTGTTAATCACAAATAAAATGGTTCATAATAGTTACGGAACTGAGAAAAAGCAAATAAACGCTTACTCTGAATTATGCCTTTTAAAAAATGTTATGGGCAGGGGAGAGACAAGAATCGGCCTAGTACTAAAATATAATGTGTACATGTTGATCTTCCTTCTTACATAACTTGCCCCAATATTCCTTCTAGCGGGGTTATTTTAGTGTGTGTACACAGCTGTGAATTAATATTCAACCACTCATGGCTTTAAAATACCCCCCCCCCAAAAGAAATCTCCAAATAAAAGCTGTTTTTTGTCATTTTATATGTTTTTTGAAATAAAATGCATCATTTTATTACACCATTGTATATAATGGGACTTGAATATTTATGGATTTTGGTATCCATGGGGGAAGGAGGCTTTAACCAAATTCTGCTGAATATCAAGGGCATGCTGTACTGACTTTCCAAAATTTTCCATATTTAGATTTCTTCCTAGATTTTGGTATTTTGTATTTTTTAAAAAAACTAAAGTGGAGTGTATATCCTTTTTCATTGTATTGTGTTTTAAAAGAAGTCAAAATCTCATATATACACAGGAATAGCTTTTCACTGCTTCTACCACTCATTATTTTTTTCCTGCCTCTATTTAGCCATGATGGATTGGTGTAACATGCAAATAATTATTCTTTACATCATTATATTTGAATGATATCAGAATGTATTTTTCACTGAGCAGAAAGAGTGATTTTCTATATTATTTGACCATTGTATTAGAACTCAAGGACACAACAATATTACTTTTTTTAATCTCTCCCCCCCCCCCATTTTAAAATCTGCATTTTGATGCTGTATGGAATCGCCCTTAGAAAATCTTCTATGTTAGCCTTCCCTCATCAGGTTCCCACCAGACATCTGGCCTACAAAACCCATTCTCTTTGACTACCGATCATACTGGCTAAGGCTGATGGGCATTGCACCAATACTAAGAGCGCATCTAAGCTTTAGAAATTAATGCATTCTGACTGACCCCACTTGAACTGCCAGAGGTCAATGCTACAGACTTATGGGAGTTTTGCAAGGTCTTTAGCCTTCTCTGCCAAAGAATGCTAGTGGGTCACCAAACTACACAACTCTTATGTTCCTATAGCAGTGACTCATGGCAGTTCAAGTGGTATCAAATTGCATTAATTCCACAATACAGATGCTCATTTATATATTTAGAAATTTAAGCTCAGATTTGCAAGCCTGAAATATGTTGCTGTTGTTGTGATAGTGATTGTTTTTTCTATGTCAGAAGCAACTTGAGAAACTGCAAGTTGTTTCTGGTGTGAGATAATTGGCCATCTACGAAGACATTGCCCAGGTGACGCCTGGATGTTTTGATGTTTTTACCATCTTTGTGGGAGGCGTCTCTCATGTCCCTGCATGGGGAGCTGGAGCTGACAGAGGGAGCTCATCCACACTCTCCCCGGATCCAAACTTGTATCCTGTCAGTCTTCAGTCCTGCCAGCACAAGATTAACCCACTGCACCACCGGGGGCTCCATGACAGCGATGATGATTATGTTTATTTATACTTTTTTTTTCTCTCCACAAAGGAGACTGAAAACATCTTGCACTGGGGATTATTGCAAAGTCAATGTATGTCCTGCCATATTTAATTTCCTTCTCTTCAGCATGATCCCTGATCTCGAAGTCAGACCTGCACCATGGCTGAACTCTACCCAAAAACTCACTTTCCAACTTGGAATTCAGCTTCAGGTCAATATTACTTCCCTGTCTTTGCTTTGATACAATGATGCTAATTCAGTTACTGCCACTTTAGCAACATTGTGAACAACAGTGAATGTAAATATGTTTCACATATTTTAAGAATGAATGGGATAGCCTTAGAGTACTATAGCATTTATACATTTTCATTTTAAAAAATAATTAGAAAAGCATGTTAGTACTAATTAAATTGATTTATAAAATGACCCATGACACCAGAGTATATTCCTAGCCCATAACTGCCATTAAAAATGGAGAGTAGAAATAAAAAAAAAAACTATTAACCAGTGGCTTGCTGGAGTATCTTATAATAATCTGAGTATAGAAAACTATATGGCATTTTCCATGTTTCATAATCCAATACGGAAGCATCCTAAGGGACAAAACAAAGCACCATAAATCTTTTTGCAAGGGCATCTAAATCTCAGCTGTGGTTTTCAGATTGATTGAGGAAGCTAAAGAACAAGGCATGAAATTTACAGTGCCTGGGTATTTAGTTTTTCAGTTCTCTTGTTCAAAGATGAATTCTGTCATTCACTTTAAACAGGATCCCAAGCTTTCCAAACAAGAAGAGGGGGGGGGGGAATCTTTGCCTTTCTTTAAGTACAGTTTCCCCTCTTTCTGTTAGGATGCCATTGGCACAAGATACAGGACATATAATTAATTCATAAAGTACAATACCCCATAAAATCTTTATGCAAATAATACATGGAAGAAAGAGAAAGGAGGCTCACATGGGGTGTAGGAGTGATTTTTCTCAGCAGGCACAACACAGCAGTTGTCTAATTCCTTCCCCTCAGCTCCCCTGCTGGGTTTCTGGCTGTTCTGAATAATGGCAGAAGCCTAGCCAGTTCTGTTCTTAAGGGTTTGCAGGCACTATGCCCACCATGCCCATTTTCTAACCATATCCATCAGTCATTGTCTATACACTTCCTCTTTCCCATTTGAGCAGGTAAAATACAACAGTGCAGGAAAGGATCACATTTTCGGTCTTTTAGCATATAAAATGGATGGTCTGCTGTACAGGAACAGTACAACAGTACAAATACAATGGAAGAAAAGACTGATACACAGCAGTCGACAAGAAAAAAAAAAGCTTATGTCACTCATTGACCAAAAATAACAACCTGTCTCCCCCCACCATTTTTTTTTTACAAAATTACAAAAAAAAACAAACCCTTTCTTTCTTCTTGTTAGTTCACCACTTTCACTCTCCCCTATTTTTTCTGGCTTATGTGTGTATTCTGTGCAAAGCCAGATGCCTGAGCCTTTTTTCCCTCAAAAACTATTTTTAAAATCCCCCCCCCCCAAATCACTATTTTTCTGCTTTTTGTGTGCTAGCAAACTTCTGCAGTGCACACACACACTCTTACACATAATAAATATAGGAATATATATAATAAATATAATATAATATAATATAATATAATAAATATAAATGTAAATATATAATAATTAAAATTACAACAATTATAATGAGGCATGGCAGTGGTGTAGGTGGTTCTGATGGTCAACTGGCCAAGCTTTGAGGGGAGCAAAAGCCAATGGGAATGGGAGAGGCAGAGGCAAAGGTGGTACTAATTAATGTGATCCTTCCACACCCATGAAAATTCAAATAACATCTTGGGGTGGGGGGGAGCTGCTGGTGCTTTTAAAAAGGCATTTTATTAGAAATTTTTAAAATTTCCTAAAAATCAGTGGATAATCCAAATGTTCTGAAACTTGGGGGCTTTCAAGTCATAAACCCCCAAGTGTGTCCATTTCCATCCTGATAGCCATAAAAATGACAGAAAGAGGATCCTTGCCATTGCTGCCAATGGGCTGGATCTTCCTGGATTGAAAATGGAACTTCCAGTTGATGGTTCACGAAATGGTATTTTCCCCCTCCCAATTTTGAAAACTTCCTGAGAAACAGAATGAGTAGGGGGCAAAAATGGGACTGAAAACAAGTTTGGTTTTTGACAAATTACATGCCCCTAATATATAATTTGTCTCCCAGGTTTTGCCTAAGAAGACTGAAGTGGCATACACAGTTTCTCATTTTAACCCAGAAAAACCCTGTGAAATAGTTTAGACTTAAAGCATATGATTGCCTGAAGATCTCCCAATGGACTTC